GGTATATGTGGAGACAAATGGATAAAGATGGGCTCCTGTTGTCTGTTTTGAACACAATGTATCTGGCTGTGTACAGATAAAGGAACACACAGTCCCTGTGCTGGGGGTGAACGTCAGCTGTTTAAGCTGAACTATTTAAATTAATATTCTTCGGTCAGGACGTTGTGGGGTGGATCAGGATTTAAAAGCTGAAAGTGGCTTTTGCAAGGGAATTCTATGCCTTTGTAAGAAGAGGAAAGAGCATTTCAACTTTATATCACGAATAGCTGTGTTAGCTTGGTAATACTATCCCAAAATGTACTCTCTCTTTCACTTGAAAGCCTGGAGGATACTAAGCAGTAACATCTGTGAGCTATGTAGCCCTGACACTGGAGTGATGGCTTGCTTGACTATACACTCAGTATATTGGGATGACAAAACTCCCTCCATTGAGACTTTCTGCAACATGACCCCATTTGCCCAGCTACTGAACTGCGCTAGCAGTCTAGTCAATCATTCTTTGTGACATAAAGGAATAGGATCAGTAGCTATCGCTCATAGGGTACAGGTTGGGAGCTCATTACTGCCATTTCAAACAGAGTTGCCTGTCCCAGTGCTCCATGGGGGCAAAGTCCTATTAAACTAAAATGGCTTCCTTTCACAGCCAACCACACAAGGGGACAAGTGCTTCCCTGCTTTCGGTATGGCTCTCAATGCCAGGTGGGGCATACACTGCCGCACAGCTGCTGTGCTCCTCAACATGTTGTACAGAACAACTAGGTGGTCTACTAAGTGCAGTGGGGCAAGCGGAAATGTCTCTGCATTATATGTCTGGACCTTCTGGCACTTGGTCAGAATCTTACGTTTTCAGGCATTTCCAAGGTTAACAAGTCTAGCTCTGCCCACTCACAGCTTCAGCAACTAGGATTCTTTGTCCATTTCAGTTACTAAGAACAGGTCCCCAGAAGAAGAAGTAGTAGTGCAAGTGTGTGTTTTTAAAGAACAATGCCCTCACTGCATATTATTCTTCCCAACAATGCAGAAGTATCAGTTAAATCTTATAATTTCTGGTTATTACCTCCAACAAAACAGATTAGTCCAGGGAGAAGCCCCTTCCCCATAAGAAGCTATTACAGTAACTATACTAACTCTGTTGTAATTAGCTTCATTCCAATGCCTCTCATTATAACTTAGGGTTAGCCTTAGAACCCAAACGCAAAGTCAAAGTGTTTTCTTCCCCTTTAACATTTTAATAAATGTTCAGGAGTTATTGAATTCTCTCCCCAGGGAAAAGCTAAACAAAGCTTTTAAAAGCCACACAGGCAAAATTATTGTTTGCCTGAAGATTGGAGGGGGGTTGTAGGAAGATTAGAGGATACATATGAATATATTAGGTCTGTTGTCCTAGTGCTGTTTAACTAGTTTTCTTTCTACAGTTCTGCTTCCCCCAATAAAGCGCAAAGCCACTTTTAATCAGTGCATGAACTTCCTTTCAGAGAAATCTTATTTCCTCATGACAGTGCCCTATCAAACAAAGTCAGTGCTTGTTTACTGGAGGGCAGCAGAATCATCTTATTAGGTGTTCACTGCTTGGGGGTGCTAGAGAAACCTGTGAGGACTCCAAAGAGAGGTACAACCATTTAGCACAGTGTTCTAACCGAACTAGCTTTGCAAACTTCTCTCAGCTCCCTAATGGTGGCTGTCATCTTGAAGAGCAGCGACATTTGCCATTCCCAGCATGGAAGAAAGCCCCTGCAGGTCTTATGATGCATCAATAGTGAGTTAACACTAAGAAGTGTTTAATATTTAAACAGTGTTCAGACAGAGAAGTGCTTCCCATTTTGAAGCCAGCAGGAAACTGGTGCCCAGCCTCAGCCATTTAGTGGTGGGTGGAACTAGAGTATCACAACAACAAGATTAGAAACTTTCTAATGGAAGTTTACATACTATCTAACTGAGTAGGTTAGTGAAGAAGTGTTGGTGGCCACTGCATTCCAGATCGGTTTGCTGGCTATAGTGCATACCAGCACTAGGTTCAGAAGCCAGTTTCAAAACAATCTGCATTGTGCAATACAGGTCCTGTTATGCAGCATTTGATCTTGATCAGAAAAACATGCCTCTATAGTTGAGATGCAGGCAGCTGAACTTGCTCAATGCTAATATAATGAGGGGAGGTTCTCTGGCTCCTACCAAGTTGCCTATGTAGTCTTCACTAGGGCAAATTCTGGATGCCCTGGACAGAGGAATTCCTGCATTTATCCAGAGGACTGGGCTAGGTCGCCTACGAGATCAACTTTTATCTCCAGCATTTCCAGCAAACAGGTCTACAGATGCCAGTCTAGAGCCCAACAGAAGCAAAACGTCTAAAATCTTCTGTCCTAAGAGGACTGCCTCTCTCCAGTTGGAAGTTTGATTGCCCACTGTTCTCATATGGAAGATGTGCAGCACAGTAGGAACCTATTAGCTCATATTCAATGCAGTGTACTCACAGTTCAGGTGTGCAGATAACTTTGGTCAGCACACATCAGAAAGTTACTAGAGAGGACTTTGCCCTATGGCTAGTGAATTTAGCATGACATTTTTAGAGACATGCTCAGAATAGAGCTAAGTGTAACTTTCTCCATAAATTACATGTTAGCAATGGCTATGGAGAAGCCTGGTATCTTTGGTGAGTCAATGAGCATTAACCACATCATAAGACTAGAACTCAGAAAGGAGAACATGGTGGAGTTACACATGGTGCTGAACACTCCTGAAGGAGTCAAGTCCCAGCCCAAGCCATATTAGAGTGGGTATCTAAACAACAACTGCCACACTTCAGGGTACTCTCTTACAAGCCACTTTCCACACACAACTTCCTGAAGCAGTCACCTTTTAGGTTGAAATTTTCCACACTTGGTCTCCTTGCCTCTCTCGCCCACCCAAAAAAACCAAATAAATTGAGCAAAATTACATGAGTACCAGTCCTGAAGAGAATGCAGCTTAGACAACAGCAGCTTCTTACAGTAAGGAGAGTTTAAGTACTAGGTAGACAGATCGTCCCCTGCCATTTTGATTTGGAGAGCACATTCATACGTATGAGGGGGAACACGTGAAAGGAAACCTAATGCCCTAATTGACATTTTGCTGGCAGTAACACATCCATTATCAGGCCAATATCAGACACAACAATGGCTTTTACTGGAGACTTTAGTACATTATATTAACTCAATTAAAACCAAGACACAGCCGCCAACTCATTCAGACCCCAGAGGCATATCTGTAAAGAACTCAATTAAGTTTGGATGGTGTAACGATGAAACCTCATTTATCATCTAAATGAGGCATCAACCTCTTGTTTCAAATTGTTTTTTGGGCTCTGATCATTCTTCCACTCAAAGATGAGTTTCATGACCCAATTTAAGATTCCAAACTCTGAGTGGACCCTTTCCATGGATTTTCTTTGTACACTTAAGATTCTGCACAAGCAAATGCTCTTCATGACAAGTTACAATGGGTTTTGAAACCTTCTAAAATGACCAAAGACTGAACTTGACAAACTGCATAAAAGATCACAGGAGGAGTGGGATTTTAAGTCCTTTCAGACAGGTTTAGAGGAGAGGAAACTGACTCAAGTCCTTAGTACTCTGGAAGAAAAGTAAAATATCAGATAAATGAACTTATTCCAATTTGGAGGCAGAAAGGAAGAGATGTGTTAGGTGTGAGAGATGTAGCTGGGATCACAGCTCCGTGCTCAACAAATCTTTTCCAGTTAAAAGGAATATGAATCCTCTTTCCTGCCAGATGAAATATTTTTTCACCAACATATTGGCAGGGGAATTCTCAAGGACTCAGGAGTTCCTGGAAGGAGACATCTGAGTAAAGGGGGAGAGAGAGAAAGAATATGCTACCCGAAGTCTGAAGCAAACAATTGCTGAGTAAAGAACAAAAATATCCTGCTTTAGACTCTCAATTCATTCTGTCCCAGGAATTTTCCTCTAACAAGGTGGAGCAGACCAGACGGAGCAGCTCATGAACAGGATTAACGGTCACCTCTCTTGGCAATGCAAATCCGATGCACTCAGAAATAGAGCAACTCCAATGACTATGTTGGCGTTCACAGTTCTCGTAAGAGTCTGTTAGGCAACCAATGAGTTTATGTCAAGACGCCTGACATGCCAAAACATGGAAGATCATTTGAAAGTAAAATTATGCACCAATCATTAGTTATGACAACACAGGTGTGCATTATTCATTAGAGACTGGAAGGAGAGACGCCTCATGCTATCAGAAAGCAAAATGTAAGAACCACCACCACAAAGGAAAGGTCACTTCACACGTAAAAGTAAGTGGTTCACTACGTGTGGTATTCACCAGTGAATATAAAGACTTCGGCCATTATTGGCCCATAAATCTCACCTTTGAAGTATCCTGCAATTTCACTAGACAGTTACACCTGTTTTCCACATATCTTTTCTTTAGTCTCACCTTCCAATTTTCTTCTTGCTATTCTTAACCTTTAAGAACCTACCTAAATTCCTCACCAAGAGCCTGATCCAACTCCCACTGAAGTCAAAGAAACTCACTGACTCAAACAGGCCAAATTGGATGAGGCCTCAAGTCACAATACTGAGCAAACCAAGTCAACGCTTTGGCACAGAAGAGCTGGGGAGCGGTGGAAAACGTTCCTGAAAACCTGTAGCTCCGGAGAACCCAGGTATTTAAAACCTGACATTTTGGTCACTCAGTGATATATCTGATGGGGGTTATTTATTTATTTATTACACTAGAAGGGGCCAACCAAAAAATATTTTAGAGGACTGCATATATGTTAGAACTCTGATTGTAGGAGGAGAATTACAGGACACATGGATGGGGTGAAAAGCTAATTCTAACTTGACAAAGTATTTTATGTTGTGATGGGGTGCCTGCCCCACACTGAGCTCTAAGGAGTTAATAGAGCCCTAGGGAGGCTTCGCAGGAGGCAGCCAATCAGAGAAGGGCTGAAGCAAGCAGCCAATCAGGACCAAGCAGGCTCATATAAAGAGGGAGCTGCAGGGCAGAGGAGTTCAGTTCTCTGCTGGGAGCCCAGGAAGGAAGGACTGTGTCTTTGGAGGGCTGAGAGAACTGCCAGCAACCTGGACAGAGCAGTGCTATGAGCAGGGACAGGGGGAGTGAGAGACAGCTCCTGGCCAGTTGCTGGGGTTTGCAGGCTGAGGCCTTGAGGCAAGGGCAAAGAGAATGCTGGGGCCACGAGGAAGTGGCCAGACAATTCACTGCAGTAGCCACTAAGGGAAGTGGCTGAACAGCAGACTGCAGGTCCACCGGAAGGGGGGAGCACAGTGTGTGGCACAGACAGAGGGCTGTGTCGCTGAAGAGGACGCTGCAGTCCTTGGAGAGACATGGGTTCTAGAGCAGGAGTGATGACAGCAAGACGCCACCTGAAGAGGGCGCAGAGCTAATTCCCAAGACAGCCAGGAGGAGGCACCACTGTGGTGAGTGAACCCCGTTACACATGTACACTTAGCAGGTGATTGGTCTAAACCAGCTAGAGAGATTTTCTGGCACACACAAAGCATTTCCCTGAACATACGTTTATTTAGAAGGAGAGTTTATGGTGAGTCTGTCATTTATTTTTACATCCTTATCCCTAAGGATCTGTCACTGTGACACCAAAATACAGACTCCGCTCTTTCATTCCTGCACTTTAATTACTTGAAAGCCAAAGAGAGTTCTTCTATAGTCATTTTGTTGCTCTTCAAAGCACAGCTATTTTATCCTGTAAATTTAGTACCAGCCTTTTTGTGGGTTGTACACAGGTACTGAACCATTTCCATGTTTATGCATCTTGGTTGCTGTATCTAGTGAAAATAGAGCTCAAAAGTACAGTTTGTGGCCTCTAAGCATCTACAGATCCTTCTGGAAGCAGCCAGCTTGAGTCCTGAAATGCAATATCCTCTCCTTCCCCAAAGCCAAGTCTGTCAGTTCTCCCACTTAAAGGAGAAGGGAGAGACTTCAATAGCTTAATTTTTGCCTTGCTCTCTTGCATTAACTGGTTACATCCCACTGAGCTATGGAATAAGGAGGTTCATTTTCTGTGGTGCAGTATTTCCTGAGATCACAGCCACCTGCTTCAGTACAGTCAAAAAAGTGGTGAGGATATTTACATTAGTCAGAGCATCTTTTCCTCAAGGAGGGGAGGGAGAACACACAAAACTGCCCACACCCCTAAAATGGGACATCTTAATGGCAAAGCTAGTGTTACTCTGATGCTGCACCTGCTCCGACTGGCCTGGAGGTAGACATGTCAACTTTTCATTTAAAAAAAAAATGAACATTAAGGCACTGGAATAAAATACACCCTACTCCAAATCTCTGCAAACGCATATACAAAGTTCTTCTGAATGTGAGGATTCTGAGCTAACATATGTCATTACCTGAATAGGAGGAACTTCAAGGACTTTGTCCACGTTCTTTAGAGAAAGAGGCACATACCACAGAGTCGCCCTATTAGTCACCCTCTTAGCACCTTAAAAAAAAAAAAGAAGCAAAAACAGTGTTAATAAAATACAGATACATTGGAAACACGTGACAGTAAAACCTGTGTAGCACTTTAGGAGCATAAATTCTGTACAAGGAAAGTTACACTGCTGAGGATCGGTAACAAAAGCAAGAAGCCCTGAGATAGCAGCTAATTTCTTGGAGATGCACCAAAGAGACTGGAGAATTGCAAAGAGCTGTATAAACCAGTAAGCTTCCCAAGGCCTAGGGCCTTTCTCCAATTGATTATTTGGTATTCCCCACATAGCTTCATGCCTTCCCTTCCCCATGCTCATTCTATAGGAATACATAGGGACAGCCTCACTGAGGTCAGGGGCTCCCCCATGACCAGGGAATGGGCTTGAGGAGACTTCTCTAGATGACACGTGCCAGCATCAGAGAAAGAGCTGAACAAGGGCAAAGAACCACCATGGTTTTGCTTGTGGCTTGTAAGCATGAACATTTGCTACAGCAGACATCTTTGGTGCCTATCATGTTGGAGCTGCATACTAGTAAGTGACTGTCATGGCCTAAGAGACTGAGGATCAACAGGCTCCAGTACAACATTAGCACACGCTGTGTTCTGACCCCCAGTCAGTCTATTACACCACATCGGGTCAGACTGGGGAATTCCAGGACTGTCAGAAATGCGTGCGCCAACCGCTGCATTCGGCAAGAGATGGACAGGAGGCTATCCCGCCAGCAATGCTTGATCCTTCCGTAGCAGCCCTACAGACAGTTAGTGCTTTGTCCTTAAATGTATAAGTGTAGCAGGTTGTTTGAGTGACACAGGCCCTCTGACTGCAATGTTACTGCTAAGTGGCACCTTGACCTGCTAGCACGGTGACCTTTTTAAAAGCAGATTTAATTGCTAATGATTGCTAGAAATAATTAGCTGAAACAAGCATCCAGTATAATGCACAAGAGATGGCTTTTATCATCGAGTGCTGCAGGGCTCATTAGCTTCTGCTGAAGGTTTATAAAGCTTAGCATGTGCACTGTACGTGAAACCACCACGGAGGTGAAAGATCATGGTGAGTGTTTAGAGCAGGGGTTGGGAATTCATGTGTTTAATGTTTATTTTGCACAATTTCTAAAAACTCGTGGTTTAATGAATCCTACCTTTGGGGAAGCATCTAAACACAATACATACAGGTACAAGGTTAGCTGGTGGAAGGCTACATAGAGCAGATGTGAAAGCAGACCAGACAAGCTCTTGTGTTGTTCTTCAAAAAAACAGTCAAAGTCATGTTTTCAAAGCCAAATTATCTCTGACATTGAATTTAAAAACTCCAAATATCTTGCCGAAAAACTCTATATCACAAAACATGGAATTCCTTCTGACGGGATTATTTTATGTCTAAATATTTCCACAAGCCAAACCGTCCTCGGAGTCACTGACATCAAGCTCAGAGACTAGCATCTATGGCGCACTCAAACTGTTCAGCGAAGACAGAGCTGTTAGATAAATGGAGGTAATTCACCTCTGGTCTGGGCATTCAATCACATGCACTGGTCTGCTGTCAACACAGCCATTAACAAGCCAGCCAGGGATGGTGACTGATCCTGGGCTGACAGATCTTTAAGTCGGAGACAGGTGAAGCCCATCTACACTAGCCCTGCTGAAGCTGGCTGGGCCATCTCCTTCCAATATTCCCAGCAGCAAGTTCTGCATGTTATAGAACAGGAGAGTTTGTGGCGTGCCAGGCAAACTACATCTAGAATCTGTAGCACTGTGGCCTCCTCATGCAGCATGGGACCCTACGTCATCTCTTCTTCACAGCGGAGCAAGCCCTGAATTGTAGATGCAGATTCCCAGGTGGGGATCTCAGCCAATACAAGCTCAAGTGTCGGTCATTTCTGTACTAGAGAAGGGGTCTCATCTGTCTGAAATTTGAAGGGGCAAACTCCAATCTTCCAGCATCCGGATGGGTGCTGGGATTTTGGGAAGCACATCCGTAGCAGTGCAGCTAGCCCCCTGCCACACACGGCTCACTGTTATAAACCAATGAATTTTAGGCATCTGAAGGTGATGGGGGACATTAGGAGGGAGCTCCGGAGTCAGACACAAAAGAACATGCAATAGGACCTGGCAATGAATCAGTGTCTGGGTGGGTGCTCTAAGCACAGACAATCAGACTTCCAGGCACACCCTCCCCTTACAAACATTGACTTTCACCATAACAGTTGCTGCCGAGTATTCTTTTAATGCCTGCAACAAATAAGCCTGTCCCTGTAGCCTGGAGACTAGTCCAAGTCAGCACTAGGTAACTGCATCTCTAGTCCCCTGCAAGACACCTCCCTAAAAAAAAGTGGGAGCTTCAACAAGCATCCCCAGTAAGGCAGAGGGTACCCACACTTCCCAGGCTCACCTTACAAGCCTCTCTCAAACATCGGCTTGGCTTCCTCCAAACCTTCCTGGGCACTAGGAACCTTCCCCTGCAAATCCCAGAGCCTGGTTTCACCCACTGAGCAGATCTGCCACGAAAGCAGGCTACCCACACAAGAGCAAAATACGGGTACAAGAACCCACCAAGCTTGAACAGATACTGCCAAATCACATTCATTAGGCCAGGTCCTGCCAGGACTGCATATGAACTTCCTGTCACTAATAGAAATGTTGCATTTAGCTACGATTCTGCATCATTTTTCAACTACAGGCAAATATGGAAAACATTTCTGCTGCACTTTGACTGAGAGTGGATCTGACAACACGCTTTTGGGAATAAGAGTGACTGTTACACCCAACTAAAACCATGCTGACAAGATGGTTACCATGGCAACCACATGAGCCGACCCTTTACAGGCCTCTGTGAACAATGTGCACTAAATTATGCAAAACAAGTTCATTACAATTTTTTCCACATTCTTTAATAAAAATTACCAGAAGAACCGTAATTCCCAAGGAGTATTTTAAGTCTCAAGAGCTGCGCTTCTCTTCCGGTGCAATTCTCCGCCAATCACATCCATATACATTTAATATTTTGATATTTAATATTACTGTTGCAAAGCTGGCTGTACTAAATAGAACGGCATGTGCCCGAACTGACTAGTAAAATGGAAAATCCTGGCATTGTTAGTGCTGCAGGTGAGAGGGAGGGGAGAACTGGGGGAGCAGGTTCTCTTACTTTGCATGGTATTTATTAGCTGACAGTTTGTAGACGAGGAGATTGTTAGGGAGAGGCACGTCTATAGGTTCAAATGAATATTTTCTGCAAAGGAATGGGCATGAATTGCCATCACCAAGAGCAGCCATGCTGACCTCCAAGCCCCATGTAAATTAAATGCCTACAGGGATAATCGAGACACTCAAGTTCTTTCGGAAGCTGGAGGCAGGTACGCATGTGGGTCAGCTGTTCCGACGGCTGAGCTGTAACACTTACCGTGCCAAGTCTCCAAAACATCTCCCAACCCTCTTCCACTACGTGGTTTATCACCCTTATAATTGTCGCCGACAAGAGCCACGTGCTCAGTACAGCATGCTGCAGCAGCTCCCCTTAGCGGGAATTTTCTTTGTGCCAACAGCCAGCATTCAAACCTCTGCTGCCCCTTGTACACTCTGCCACGGCGACCTGCTGCTGCTCAAGTCAGTGACGCTCTTGCCATTAAGCTGCTGCTGTTCTTGGGCAGAGCCTGGCTTACTGTTGCTTTTCCCTGCAGGTGCTGCTGAGGTGGTGACCACGCTACTCACCGAAACTCAATGGTGTTTTGTCATTGCCAGACCTGTTTTTACACCTGCCTTCTGCGGGTGGTCTCAGTGCTCCTTGAACAGCAGCAGCAGCTTCGCAGGCAGGTCAATGCCCGAGACTCTGCTGCTGTGTGAAGGAATCTTCAACCCACCTGTGCTTTTCGGTGACCGGTCTCTCTTCTACGGAGGAACAGGACTTTGAGATCGCATAGCCAGGTCTACTTCTAAAACAAGGGGTTTAAGTAAATCAAGGAGATAGATGGGGCTTTCAAGGCTACCGCTATGGATTCTCTAGGCAAATGTCAAAGCAAAATTGTTCATCGTGATGCTCTTGCATGAATGAAGCCACTGGAAACAAGGGTAGACTACAGATCTAACCAAATGTGTTATACAAACTCTGCTTGTGGATGCAAATCTCTGGGACAGCAAGCAGGAAGAGACCTTTACTGCATAAAAGGTAAGTCTCCTATCTTAGGTGTTTGGCCTCCATTAACCTTTCCTGAATGCCTCAATTTTTAAAGCATTTATCCCCCATCTCTGTGAGGCCTGGAAGGGACATTATCCCCATTGTACAGATGGGGAACTGAGGCACAGAGAGGCTAAGTGACTTGACCAAGATCACACAGGAAGCCTTGGGGGGGGGGGGGGAGAGACTTAAATTGAGTCTCCTGAGTTCCAAGCTAGCACCAAAACCATCCTGGACCTTCTTGCTGCCCAGTCTAGTCTTCAAAAACTGCACGTGCGGACTTCAGGGATACTGAGGCACAAATCACTCCAACTGTCAAGGAAACAAGTACTATAGGGTTTATTTGACCAATACTTATGGTAGCATTTCATTGTTTCAAAGCATCAGGTGAAATAGCCCAAGTGTATTAAGACGAGTGAGAAGAGTTGCTCTTGTAACTTTAGCCTGAAGTTTTACATCACATTCACAGCAAGGTGAAATCACTTAAGTATCAATAAAAATCAAAGGTAGGGTTCCATGACTGTTCCACATACTGCAAGTCAACAAGCATCTAGGCCAGTGGCTCATTTACAGAGCTGTGGGTTATTACTATGGACTGTTAGCCTCAGTATAGATGGCCCCGACACAACTTTTCCTGGAGTACCATGGCATTAACACCGAGGCGGCCACACCAATGGTAGTGCTGGTGAACATGAGGCATTGGTGGCTGGCGGCTTTCTGCCCTGAACCACGTCATCTAGCCTTGCTATTAGCAAGGTTAAATACAGCAATAGGAACAGTAGTGCTTGTCTATGCTAGAGATCCTATCGTAGGGCTGCCCAGTGGCAGTGGAACTAGTGGGAAATGTTCAGAGAAAGTGCGGTGTAGAGACAGCCTTTGACTCAATGGAAGGGGAGACCATTCAAGACTATTGAACTAACCTGCACAAACTGTTCCTTAACAGTAATATCCTGTCATCCTAGAACCTCTCTTACATGAGGCTCTTCAGCTACTTTTAAGACGTATACTAGTTAGGGTCCTGGTGAGCAGTATATGAAAAAACATTCAGGACCTGGTAGCTTAGGCCCTAAATGTAGGCTACATTAATAAAAACTTTAGCATTTATAAAGAGGTTTCAAAAATTTCCCCTAGAAACAGTTTGATGTTTGGATGTAAACATTCTCTCAGTGTCTGCACCTCCGATATGGCAGCATTGGGACAGAACAGGAAAAACAGAAGGTGAAAGCGAGCAACTAATTTTTTACGCTTCTCTCAGGCTGGGGAGCGCAGAGAAACTGCAGCAGTGGTGAGATAAAGCGTAGGTTTTTCAAATGCTTTTCACTCTGCCCAGCCTGCATCAGGGAACATGTTACTTTGCAATTCATTGAGCAATGGGGCAAGAAACCGCTCTCAACATAAAAGATGCTGAGAGGCTTCTGAAAGACTTGCAATATGAAGGCAGCACAAGGCCAGCGAAACAGACTATACAGGTGGTCCACAATCCCACAGCGTGCCAATACCGGCACAAGGGAAGGGGACAAGCCATGAACTGGATGATAAGATGCTCTAATATGCTGCATCCCAGACACAAAAATCCATAGGTTAACATTTAATTAGAGAGGAAAAACCACCATTAGTTTCTCTTGATCTCTTTCATTGGAGGGACTGGTAGGTTTGCACAGGTCTGGAAGGGTTTGACATTAACGCAAGGCGTCCGCTAACAACGTCCGCTCAGATTAGCCACCCAAGCCCCACACAGGCTCAGCCTCAGTGCTACAAGAGGCAACAGGAGACATGGGGTATTATACCAACAAGATTTATTTCATCTAGTTGCTACCTTTAAGGGCTGCAACTAGAATAAAGGAAATTTCTGCTCTGCTCAAGAGTTAGACAATGTCCTCCAGGCCTGTTGCAACGTTCTGTTTGAGTATCAACTCCCACCAAGCTCAGATCCAACACCAGAGTTTGTTCTCCGCAACTGTTCACATTACAAGATTGAGTAGCAATTTGTTTGCAAAAAAACTTGCTTAAAAATGGAAATGATTTGACAACCTTTTGATGCAGTTTTTAGTTTAGTCCTTTGCTTCTTTTACAATCAAATGAGGTCAAATCTAATCTATTCATTTGTTATCAACAGCTTAGGCTGAACTGATGGTTCCACTAGTTTCCTCATGCAAAACTGGGGATTTAAATATTTTTGCTGTTTAAAGTCAGATGATGAAACCTGGGGGCAAAACATTTTTTTTTTAAAAAGTCACATTTTGCTGATAAACTGCTGCTTTAAATTGTCAGTCTAAAGTCATTGTACCTAATTGCAAGTTTTACTTTACAGGATTTTTTTGTTTTTGTTTTACCCTGACACAAGTACAACGCACATTTCTGAAAAAATTCACTAGAATAAGTATCCACCTGCTAGAGAAGCGTGGGGGCTGCAACAACAGAACAACTGACACTAAATCATGGTTCTGGGAAGAGGGGGTGGCTCCGAGAGACAGGGCTGGGGGTGGATTAGTCAGACACCAAACTATGGCAATGAACAAGACGAAAGGAAAGTGAGAACAGGAAGACCCTCCCTTCCAAATGGAGTTACTATGTCTAGCCACAGAGGGAGCCCAATGGGGATTGCAACTTTTCCCTTTCCTTAGCCCTAAACTAGGATGAAGGGGTGGTCACTCCTATTGAGCCTTCTTGCTAGCACACACCCAAATCCACACAGCCCTGCTGCTATTTCAGCTCAGTTATCGACTGTCGTTTGCAAACTGGGCTGTTGTCCATTGTGAACTGTACCGAGATCACCAGCATTCCAACGAGAAGGCCAAGAGGCAGCAAGTTTTCAAGAAAGCTGCAGACAAGCGCTGGTTGTACCTGTGCCCAGCCGGCCAGCCAGAGCCTTCACAGACAGTGTGCTCTCTTCACTCCCCTGATTGCCCCCCCCCATTCATTCATTCCTTCCATGAACAGCCGGGGTCAGACCAACACGGAGGGTCAGAAAGCTAAGAAGTCTAGCCTGAGCCAGCAACACTTCATGTCAGGCCATTCAGAATCCCCAATGTACATGCAAGAGTCCGCAGTTCCCAGGACCGTGTGTTCCATGTAAACAAGCTGTAGTATTAGACAGAATGCAGGAGCTTCTGCACTGCTGAGCTCCTCCCCGCCCAGCCAGCCCCCTTCAGGGCACGTCTTGGGGTTCAGCTTTCGGCGGGCGTTCCGGGGCACTGCACCGTGCGGCACAAGCTGAAGGCGGAGAGTTTCCAAGGTAATGTTAGAACAGATAAGAGCGCCTATCTACCGTCACTCGTAGCACCTGGCTGGCAAGGCAGGAAGGACATAACCATCAGCCATACAAGCTCTCTGCTGATTTTAACAGTTTTCCCCAGAAGCTTTGAGTGCGAAGGAGCCTTCAAACAGTTGGCTGGTACCAGGAGATTCTGACATTTGGGTTTGAAAATTGTTGGGTTTTCCCCCCCTTCTATATTGGGAAGAGACCTGTAGGACTTTACCAGAGCACACGGGAACATTCTAGAGCACACAGATTAATAGAAATCTTGGAGTCAATTATAAAAGTCACTTCTCAGAGTGCAAACATGCCAGGTCTGTAGCACCACTGCCGAGAGATTCTGACAAAGGGAGTGTTGTGCCTATGTCAACGCAAACACCGGTTTAAGAGAAACATAAAAAGCTTGTGCATGCAGCCATCACAACCTCCTGCAGTTGCCATGTGGGAAGATGAAAATGGGTTACCATGGTTACTACTGCCTGGGAAGAGAATATTCAGCTCAAACCAGAGCCAATGGTTCATCCTGTTAAACTACAGACACCATCCTGATTAACTAAAGCCTGATGCTGCAGCCGAGTCTGTAGAATTAGTATTTCTTCTAATGGATCAGAACAACCCTACTGCAAATTTAAATCAACATACAGCGATGGTTCGAGTTCCAAAACCTAGCACACATACAGGTATTAGAATCCAAGAGCACTGAGTGCAACACAAAGAGGAGACGTGGTACGTACTCCAAACCTAGTGCAGACCAAACATGCTGATGCAGATAGCAGATCAGATGCCAGGGCAACTTAGAGGTGGTGAGAAATCACACTGTCATTAACACACAGCATAAGATGGCAGTAATTTTTTCCTGCCCATCCTCCTCTCATCACTATTAAAATGTAAAACTAAATATTTACTGCATATGCTGTCAACACTCAAGAGTTCTAATTAGACACACAAGTTGAACACTAAGAGCATACCACAATGCAGGGCTGCTTTCTTCAAAGGAACAGAGTATATTTTAAAGAAAATCATAGCACCACATTTAACTGCAGTCTTCGTTTGTGACTATGCATTTAAACCTTCACTGCACTGAGAAAACAACTGCAACTAGAGCCAAGTGGAGTTCTGATAATTTTAACAGCTCAGAAAGCGTGTCTGATGTTCACACACTTGGCTTAGCCTGAATGCGTACTTCCCGAATGGTTACATAAACACGGATTGCTAGATGCTCCTTATGTATCACCAAACTACATTTAAAGGACTTCAAGCAAAACTTGTCAGAGCTAAAGAGACTCGTAAGGCACAGGTATCACCCCCCACTACGCCCCTACTGCAAGTCAGGCAGGCTTAGAAAGAGAAACAAGGAACGTTTCCTTCTCCACCAATGAGGAGAAAATTCTTACTACCAGGAAAAAAAAGCAAGCAAGCAACAGGTATTCAAAACCCGAGAGATCACCACACCTGAACCAGGCAAGAGGGAGAAGACAACAAAGAGACACTCCAATCACTTTTACAGCAAAAAAAGGCTTTCTTCAGAGTTCAGTGTTTTGTAAAGCACTGCTCCCCTCCCACTCTGCTCTAGCTTGAAGTCCCAAGCTGACTTCATCAGCCATGTTATTCTTGCCACATGGCCAGCATGTTCTGCCAGAGTAACTCTCACTGCAAAGCCCATTTGTACAACCGTATCATTCTCCTTACAGTTGTATAATCACGTATTCGGTTACTTCACAGCCTACACACGGAAGCACACACAACCAAAGGGGCCTGACTTGCATGGCACATCTTTCTTCATAGACACAGCACTAAGTCTTAGTTATCATGCAGAAGTATAATGCTGACATCACAGCAGAGCTGCCACCCTGCCTTCTAGAGACGGGGGAGGGGGGTGAAGTAATAGCTTTTATTGGACAACTTTTGTTGGCGAAAGAGAGAAGCTCTTGAGCTACCCAGAGCTCTTCTTCAGGTCCCAGGTCTAGCCGTTGTGTCTCTAATATCCTGGGACCTACATAGTTACAAGACTACAAACCACCCGGTCTTCTAGGCTTTTATCTAGTCATCTGCTAGCTATAGCCTTAGATTGCGTCAGTATTACTGGCAACCTAGCTAACAAGAATAGACTCAGGATGACCCTACAGCATGCTGCTGCTGTCATGCTACATCCTAGTTCTTCCGTACCTCTGAAGATAGGTTGGAGCCTTTCCCAGGAAAACGTGAGCCAGAAAAACTTAATACTGGTTACAGAGCTTTCCCCATGGACTACCCTCGCACAAGAACATAGAAGTCATTCTGTCTTGGGGCTAGTCTACCACTAGGATTGCTCACACAAAATATGCCTTTGTTAGCTCAAGTATCTTCAATCTGAAACTTGAGGAGATTGCAGAGGCAATGGCAGAAGTTATCACTGGAACCTTGGATAGTTCCAAGACGTTAGCGTGGCTACAAGACATGGTTAAGGTTCCAGCTATGCTACTGCTTGGCATCATGTTGTAACTAAGTCAGAGGACAACGACATATTTACCAAACCTCCTGAGGTGCATAGTGTAGGCAGGTCCTTATCAGAACCTTTTACACACATTTCCACACCCTGTAAGGAGATCACAGAGAGCCAGGGAGAGGAGGAAGGGAAACCACCAATGGGAATAGGGAGCTTGCCACAGACCCCTATTTAAATTGCTTCACAGCCCACACAGATTCCACGCTGGCCATACGTAAAGGGAAAACCTGTCACCTTGGGAATAGCTCGGTGCTACTGCCAGAGTGCTGGGAGCACTCAACGGAGGAAGAACGGGGGTTATGTGATTGCTCCCCTCCTGCAAATACGGACTGAAGCACCCAGGAAACCCTGACTGGCGAGTTCTGGGAACTGCTCAGGAGGCCTCAGTGCAGAACTCGTAGCGATGACATGAGGGTTACACAGATCCTAGCAAGAGTCTGCCTGGGTGTTGTCCAGAAACTCCAA